CATTTGATCCTGAATTCTGGGACTGGAAGACATTGAAGCGCTACTGCAGTCAGTTACTGGGGTTGGAACCGGAGGAAGAAGTAGAAGATGAAGCAGTACCAGAGGAGCTGTGTAATGTTGGAGCAGTTTTGAATGAAGAGGCTGGGAAGGAGGAAGAAGTTGAAAGTGAAATTAATGTATTTAGCAGCACTGAGCAAGAGCAGATAGTGGAAAAAGCAGAAACCGAAACAGGCCAAAAAGTCTTAAAGAAACAAGACTCAGAGCATGTCTCTAAGAGATCCGACAAGCAAGAGAAGAATAAATTTGTCTGTCAGATATGCCATAAAAAAGTGGTTGAGACACGAATCTGTCACCATGCCAGAAAACACATGGAAGATGATGTGTGGACATGCCCTGTGTGTCTACAAAGGTTTAAAAGTAAAAAGGAGTTTGAGCCACACTCTAAAACACACATTCAGATTCCTGCAGAGGGTCACTGGAAAAAGAAAAAAGTGAAGAAGGTGGACCCGAAACAATATTTCAAGGAGGATAGTTTTGATGAGTTAGAGCCAGGTCAAATTCCTTTAGACCCTTCTCTAGCCATGTACTATCAGTCCACCCATGACCCTGTTGTATTAGAACATATATTAGAGAAAGCCGCCAGTGTGCCTGATAAGCAAGTAGAAAATGACTATATTACATTTGACTACATTAAAACACAATATAAGTTACAGAATCATGACGTTTACCAGTGTCCAGCCAGTAACTGCTCAAGAAATTTTAAACTTTTCAAATATTTGGGTGTGCACATCAAAAATGAACATGATAGTGAAGATCCCAACCTGAAACATTATCTGGAGATGAAAGATCGTCGGGAGAAGTGCACTTTCTGCCGGAAGACCTTCATGACTGCCTTTCACCATCGCCAGCACCGTTGGGTCCATTATGGAGAGCATCCCTACATGTGTGTGGTCACAGGATGCGGTGCCCGTTTTGACACCACCAATGAACTTGTAGCTCATAAGCATAGTCATGGGTTCCATTTGTCCTACGGCTGTGAGCTGAAAGGCTGCAGTTTCTCCTATTGTGACCTTGGGCAGCTCTACCACCATGAGGCGCAGCACTTCCGCAATGCTGCTTACACTTGCACCAGTCCAGGGTGCAAGAACTTTTTCTACTCTCGCAAAGAATTTCTTCAGCACTTGGCAACCCATGACATCAGCTTTACAGGGAAAGACTTTGAGACACAGAGAAAAATGAAAAGGAAACTCTTGCTCCCGGTTGTGGAGAGCTCTGAGTCAAAGGCAGAAGTAGAGAATGGTGTCCAAAAAGGTTCAGGTTCTTCACAGCTGTTGGCCAACAGGGAATCTAAGGTCTCGTTGACATGTGTTGCTGTCTGCTTTGATGGTAAGAAGTTTACGTGTGGCTTAAAAAGGTGTGGAAGGACATTTACTACTGCAAGAGAACTTCAGAAGCACTTGAGAATTGCTCATCCAGACAAATTTAATGAGGAGGATCAATTATGCAAGAAGAAAGTACAAGCAAAGCATTCTAAGACTCAAGCCAATGAATTGCATAAAAGTGGTCAGGATAACACTCTAAGAAGGTCATCAACGGAGGAATCTAATCATGAAAAAGCTCCCTCACCTGCTCCTGAGTCCATAGACTGTGACATAACCCTTTCAAGCGTGGAACTTGGTGCAGCACTAACCGAGATCATGCTTGGATTGAGTCAGCTAAGCCTTAATTCTCCCAGCACTAGATATGCTACGCGTAATTCACAGAGCACTTGCACGCCTACCTTGAAAGCAAGGTCACCTGCCAAAGCATCGAACAACAAAAATGAGGTGAGATCTCATGTATCGAGTAGTGATTCAAAGAAGCTGCCAAGCAAGCCAGAATCACAACAAGCACGTGACAACAATAAAGACCCTGAGAAGGAGCAACTGCAAAGCAAGCTCTCAACCAAGCCTTACACCTGCGAAGCCAAAAGCTGCCACTACCAGAGCGTTACCAGTAGTGCTTTAATGCAGCACTACATTAAGATTCATGGCTACTCTGAGGAAAAGGTTAAACAGATTGAGGTGTTTCAGTCTCAAACATTCAAGCCTTCCAAAATGCTTGACAGCACTGAAAATTCTGTCTTGGAGGACGATCAACCACACAGCGAGTTCCTTGTGCAGGCCACAACGAAACCTTACATCTGCGAAGCTAAAGGTTGCCGCTACCAGAGTGTTACTAGTCATGCTTTAATGCAGCACTATATTAAGGTTCATGCTTACTCTGAGGAAGAGGTGAAAGAGATGGAGGTGTTTCAGTCTCAAATATTCAAGCCTTTCAAGTGCCATCTCTGCTCCAAGAGCTACAGAAACAAAAAAGAATTGAGGATCCACTATATACATATGCATCACATAAATAAAGCTGTTGTTGAACAGATGAGCTGCTCTTTTAAAAGAAAGCTAGTTGATAAAGCACCCGTGGTGTCATCATCTAAGGTGAGGACCAGGAAGAAGTCACAGTCTTTGAAGATGGATGATGTTAAAACACAAAGACGAGAAAAACACCTGTGGCAACAAAAATGCCAAAAACAAGATTATCGGTTGTGGAAGCGCAAGCTTCATAGAAAAAATGGACAAGCTAAAGCTGAAAAGAAGAGCCAAGTCCCTTCTGAAACTGATGCGCATGTAAACCACTCAAATGTTGATGTAAGGGGAAGTCGTCGCTTGGTTGCTAAAGGGAATCTGAGCTACATCCTCAATAAATACAATAAACCCTTTCATTGTGTGCATAAAAACTGCAGTGCTGCCTTCAATACTCAGAATGCTCTTGTTGGCCACCTTCAGTTGGTGCATCACTATAACCGCTCACAGTTGTGCTTCCCATGTGAACACAAAGGATGCGATAAGCAGTTTAACAACTTGTCTAGTCTTACTAAACATTACCGTAGAGTGCACAACAAGAAAATTACATCGAAAATGCCTTGCAAGTCTAAGAACATACCAAAAAGACAAATGGCTTCATCAGAGGAGCCTATACCAAGGTTCAAGTGTACCTATGCTAACTGCAATGAGTCCTACCATCTCAACAGCAGCCTCTTGCGTCACACAAGTCAGTTTCACCAGAACCAGACTCCCCTGAATCCAGTTGCTACATCTGTGAACAGCGAGTTTAAATCAAGCTATAAAAAGCATGTTTTCTATAGGCATTGTGATCCATCTGATTCCCTTGTGGTGCGTCTTCAGAGTACACCTAAAAAAGATGAGTCAAATAGTGGATGCCAAACAAAGTTAATCATCTCACCCTCTTCCCAGTCGTTGAAAGATTCCCAAAAGCTGCCTCTTAAGCAGCCTATGAGGTGCTGCCTCAAAGATCAGGAAATTTCTCGTTCTGACAAGAACTTTGAGTCAATTGAAGAAACCGCAGAGGAGGAGCTGGAAGAAGTACCTAAGAAACCAAAAATTAAACTAAAAAAAGGATTTGACAGGATTGTCTTGCGAACGCATGAGGAGGCTTTGCAGATGTGCCAGGACCGCTGCCTTCCTGTGGCCTTCCCTTGCATGGTACAGAATTGTGACTCTGTAGTCATGAGCATGCATAGTTTAAATCGACATTATATTAGCGTTCACAAATTTAGACGCAAACAGTTGACTGACAATAAGGACAAATTATGTTACACAGCTGAAAAGTTAGAGGAGATAATCCAAAAGAAATCCGCTGTGTCTGCTATCCCTGATTTAACAAGAATTCCAAATGGCGTCCTTAAAATGGAGTATCAGTCTGAGCCTGCGACCCCAGGTGGCACATCACTGCCAATGAGCCTCCATTCGATCAAAACTGAATCAAAGGGTCAGGAAGTGATCGAGTTTTCAGGTGAGCCACTCCCTGACAGAAGTTTGCTTATTGCTACTGAGGATTTGCTCTATGGCTCCCCAAAGTCAAGCAGGCACCCCGAAGAGTCTGTTTCCGAGGAGAGTCCAAGGCACAAAGACAGGTCAGAGTCGGAGTTAACCACACCTCCCCTTATTCGCCCTCCACCGCTTGACCTCTCTCCACCATCTACCCTCAGAATCGCTGTTGATGAAAGTTCAATTGAACCCTCTTGTAAAGACAGTAAATCTATTAACATTCCTTCTACTGTTTCCATATCAGTTCCCACCCCAACTCGGCAGCCCCTCAGATGGAAGAATGAACTCTCTGAACCATCACCTCTAGTCCCTCTTTTACCCATCTCAAAGGATCCTGTAACTCACAGTCTAGCCCCACGAGCTTTTGACATCGCAACTTACAAACCTATGGGCTTTGAGTCGTCATTCTTGAAGTTCATTAAAGAGAAGGAGGAGATCAAATGTGAAAAGCCATGGACTGCAGTAGTTACTAAGCCTGATCCTCCTCGACGCCGTGATTGTTTCCGGCGAAACTGCTCGGTTAAGGAGAATACTCAGAGAGGAGCCCCAATCTCCCGAAGCCGCAAGTTTCGCTCATCCCCTCTGAGGCACTTGATCTCTAAAGGAGAGTGTACCTCTATCCAGAATCTCCGTCTGATTTTGGAGAGAGCTTTAGGGGGCTGTGGGGACCAAGCTATAAAACAACTTCAGTTCTTGAAGCCTGTGGTGGTTCTAGAGAGGCCAAAGTCCTTTACCTCCATTCTCGATCTCTTACCCTCTGAAACTAACGCATAATCTTCCGCTGGGCACCAAGGCAGTTAAAACTGGCCCACTTTTTTATTTGAGAGACTTTCATAGTATTTTTTTATATCATTGATACAATTTTGGTTCTTTGATGCCAGGATTAGGTACCTTGATCGTGAAGTTGTGAATGTTTATATCTGTAAATAAGGTCAAATAAAAAAGAACGACAAATGATTTTGAAAATTCATATTGTATTATGTTGTATACACATCACACCAATCACTGTAAATGACTCCACAAGATCCATGTTACATTTAGTTTTTTTTATATACACTAAGAAAACACAAATGCAGAATTAGAATTGCAAATAAATTTATTCAAGTTTTATTCAAATTAAACAGGGACATCCTTGCTTGTTTATGAGGCTTACAAAAATGTTTGGAAACCATTGAACAGGAGACAGGCCTGCATGTTGATATTCATCCTCAAATAGCAAGCCCGAAAACACTAACAATGCAGTATATAGTTTTATTCTCCCATCGTACCGTGCAACTCCCTGTAGAAAAACAAAAGTCAGTATCATTAAAAGCAATTTCTTGATTATGCTTGGATTTGGGCCGTTTTGCATTAAAGTAAGAAAACTAAATCTGAAATACTTGCCCAGTCTTTCAATATGTCTTACCATCTGTACTGTTGTCCCAGAAACATGAGCTGGCAGTGTGCAAACCTGCCCCATTTTTTTGGAGTATGATGCATGTCACTGGGTGAACAAACATAAGAGATTGAATTTGGGGGGAAATTACGGGTACTGTACCTTTACATAAGTACTATTGTAGTTTTAACGGCCTCTTACCATACCTATGTACTTGAAAGGCTTTCCTAATTTAGTTAGCTGGCTTAGACTTGACTCTACAATGCTTGACATCCACTGGTTGATTTTACTGTGCTGGTAAGAGCTGTTTCCAATGGTGCTTTCAACAGCCTGTTGTCAAAAGACCCCATAATACACTAGTGATTATTGAAAAATAAAATATCGATCATTTACATTTCTAAGTATTTACTCCTACAATCAAAGTTATTTAATTTACTGTCGAAGATTGACTCCATGTCTACACAGTGTGGTGATGTAGTAGAGTCTTACTTCTTTGATAACTGTGGTAATCTCGTCCACAACAAATGTAGTCTGTGAATGAACATAATTAAGGTCGCAGCTTTGAGGTACGTCTGAGAAAAATTTAGTATCTCTACTGCGTACATTTAGAAGTAGGAATCACACGTTACTATTATAATTTTTGTGTCAGTTACCTCCTCTGCAGACTGATCCTCGTCCATTGCTGGATTTTAGTATTTAGTATAGTAGTGTTTTGTAGTATCTATGGAGACAGACCAGGGTCACTGCCTGGATGGTAATCACGGCACAGACTCGCTGCTTGCAAGATTGTGTTCTTCATTGTTTTGTCAGTTTTTGTCTAACAAAGCAACGACAATAACGTTTAACGTTTTTGTCGAGGATGTGGCAGCAAATTCTTATTACGCTTTGACGTTTGCAGCACACTGCAAAACTGGAAAATATAGTTGGGAAATATTTTTATTTAGCTTTCGTGCATGAAGGGTTATACTATATCTATAACGAATACAATTGCATAAAAGTATTGTGCTTCATTTTTTTTAAAATGATGCACAATAAAACATTCTGTTAATCGGTGATATATACCTTTTTTTTTTCTTCAACTACCACGTCTCATTTTAACGCTTCAAAAACTGAAGTTTGTTTGATTTAATACTGTATAAATACCCGTGTGCATAAAGGTGCCCAAAGATAAAGAAACACACGCAAGTGTCTGACAAATGTTATTTTTTAATGATTACTCTTAATAATTTTTGTGTATTTATTATTTAGCCATGACTATCAGTCTTACTGTAGTAGAATAGATGAATTAAACGCAGTATTTGATTAACCTGTAGTTGCTTGTGTAAATAAATCGAGTTTATCACTATACGTATTACCTCATAAATAGTGCATTTTAAATCTCTGAACCATGCATTTAGGGGGAAAAATCAGGAACCCGTTTCGTTCTGCTGTTGTGTCTGGTCGAACACAGTTTCTGGTTACACCTTATTTCCCATGAATGGGAAAGGAAGTGATAGAGCATGAGTTATCATTATTTGTGCATTCCTGCTAGTCGTTTTTCAATATATGGACTTAAAACATACACATTCTCGTAAGGTTCAAGTCTCGTATTGGGTTGGAATAGGTACGAAGATTATCTGTTGCCTTGAATGACTATCAGACAGCCGAATCACTGGATATCACGGAGCTAATTAACGGTGCCAACAAATAACTGCCAAGCCGTAATAATGCTGCTGGAAATTCTTGCATTACCAGTTGAAGACAAAATCTTTTACGCTGTCCTGGTCTTCTCATGGACGGTGTATATTTGGGAGGCCTACCTCGCATATAGACAGGTCAGCATATGGGTATTGTTTATCTTGGTCGTGTTTGCGGAAAGCATTTAAAGGCAGACACTTTATGCATTTATGATTTTCTATTCTAATTGGTAGACTTTGGGAAAAATTCATATTCCAAAACCCATCTCATCTTAGAGCTTTGTGCAAATGCATAGTAATGTATTGAAATAATGAACTACTCTAGACCTTGTATAAACAAAGACACATTTTACCTTTCACAGAGGAAAATCTACAGCGCTACAATGCATGTGCCCACTGAGCTGGGCAAGATAATGGATTCAGAGACCTTTGAAAAGTCTCGCCTCTATCAGTTGGACAAGAGCAACTTTGGCTTCTGGTCTGGACTCTACTCCGAGGCAGAGGGCACGGTGAGCTTCATGTCAATTTCAAAGTTTTAAATTAAATTAAATTTCCAAGTGTAATGCAGAGTCTTTTTTTCATATTAGCTAGTATTTATTTTATGTTCAGATAACTTTACGTCTGTAGGTTTCAGTTGTAAGTTTCTTACAAGTCCTATGGGTGAGAAAAAAAACATGCACCTTAAGGTTTCGTTCTAATTAATACTGGACTGCAAATCTTTTCTTTTTCATTTTTAATGGACTTCATTCAAGATTCTTTTCCACTTGCATCTGTTTTTTCCTCTTTAAGCATGTTTAATTTATTTCTGTTTTGTAGCTGATTTTGCTCCTGGGAGGAATCCCGTTCCTCTGGAAAGTGTCTGGGATTCTCACAGCTCGTTTTGGTTTTGGTGCAGAGTATGAGGTAGGTATATTCTCTGGAAACCTTTTGGTTGAAAAGACTCTTTTTTTTGTGTGTGTGTTTTTAGATAATATTTCTAGAATTTGTTCTCATTATGTGTGAATTTTGGCCCGCAAAAGTTGTCTAATGTCCTAGTTCTGTATGTGTATATGGTGCTTTTACTTATGTTTATGTAACTTCAGCTGAATTCGACTCCTGTGAAACTGAAGGCTGGAATACACTACACCACTTTTGAACAAATTTTAAAACATTTTGCATGTTACGCTTGTCGACTTTGCAAATGGTGACAGAAAAATCTAGGCATCACACACTACCAGACTTTCAAGTCTTTCCAAACACAACAGACTCACACAGAAACATGTGACTTGTTGCTAGCAGATGCATAGCAAATGAAAATAACTTGTGTCCTTATCCTTAAACTGGCTCAAAACATGTTTGATACTCTCCAACTGGATGGAGTCATAGTTTGGAGCTAAAAAAAAGTCTGTGCGCATCATACAATACGCAGTTTACTGTCTAGCCAAAATCTGCAGTCTTGCTCTGATTTTCAGCAAATAGCATTGACTTCTCCAGACTGCACAAATCTAGGTAAAAGTCATGTTATGTATGTTTGGAATGAAACATCAGCTTACTGCATGCTGAATATTGTGCAGTATACACTGTGAAGCAGTAGGTATTATCCTATTGTCACTTGACCTCGTCATGCAGCTTGTGAGTGGTGTCCTGTTAACATCTTGAAAACAAATTTGGTTGTTTTCATTTTTAAGGTTTTTGTGTAAATGTCTTGCTTTTTGGCAGTCCAATCAAATTATTAGTAAAAAAAAAAGATTGTCTACTGTACTTTAGAAGTATTGTACTAGTATGCTATTCTGAACATTTTTAAAAGGTACTGCATTATTTAAAATGGTTTTCTTTCCTTCAGATCTCCCAGTCTTTGGTGTTCCTGATGTTGGCAACTCTCTTCAGTGCTCTCACTGGCCTTCCCTGGAGCCTCTACAGCACTTTTGTTATTGAGGAAAAGCATGGATTCAACCAGCAGGTAGATAAAGGCTGGCTCGTATCTATTTACTGTCATAGCAGAAATAAAACTAATGGCAAGATGTATTGAAATGTCTCTATCGTGCCTTCTTTATAGACAGTGGGTTTCTTCCTGAAAGACGCTCTCAAGAAGTTTGCTGTGACTCAGTGTATTTTGTTGCCAGTGACATCATTGCTCCTCTACATCATCAAGATCGGTGGTGATTACTTCTTCATCTATGCCTGGCTCTTCACACTCGTCGTCTCGCTGGTCAGTTTTCCTGGCTTTTACTGAATGTTATCTGTGAGAAAAAGAAAAAGTGAGTTGAACTGTCCCTCCCATTTTGCTCTACAGATTCTGGTGACTATCTACGCAGACTACATTGCCCCTCTGTTTGATAAATTCACTCCGCTGCCAGATGGAGAGCTGAAGAGTGCGATTGAGAGCATGTCAAAGTCCATCTACTTCCCCCTCACCAAGATCTATGTAGTGGAAGGTAGAGCAAACCATACTCATCTTTTAAATGTTATTACTTTCTATAGAACTTTAAATGTATGTGAATATAATCGCCCTTCTCCTAATATATGTGCTCTCTTTTCTAGGTTCAAAGAGATCTTCCCATAGTAATGCATACTTCTATGGTTTCTTCAAAAACAAGCGCATTGTGCTATTCGACACTCTTTTGGAGGATTACTCCCCTTTAAATAAATCTGGAGAGAAAGAGCCAGGAACGGGAGAGGAGAACGAAGCAGCAGGCAATGAGAGCAAGTCCAAACCAAAGGTCAGAGCCAGATCACTAACAAATTAGATTAAATGGTTTTTTATTTTTAATTTTTTACATTTTTGTCTGTATTCAGAACAAGAAACAGGGCTGCAGTAACCCTGAGGTTCTGGCAGTTCTTGGACATGAACTGGGGCATTGGAAACTAGGCCATACAGTCAAGAACATTGTCATCAGCCAGGTGAGTTGCTGTATGTGCGGCTGTGCTTTACAGCTTAAACTCCAGTGTTGTAGATTCCTAACAATTTTTTTTTTTTTTGATTTTTCCTTTCTAACTAACAGCTGTTAACTGCCAGATTAACACAGTCTTAACAAAGGAAATGTGTTCTTGTCTTGTGTATTTCTCACAGCTGCTATATCAGTTGTTTTTGTCATGGCACATTTCTGCAATGTTGTTTTGTCCGGTTGTTCAAGTAGAATCTGATTAGGTTGAACAGTAGCTGATAAAAAACACAAGACACCAAAGGCACAGAATTTTAAGGGCGCATGATCCGAGGACCATAATTTGAGGATGCTAACGACTCCGTTTCTTTACAGATGAACTCCTTCCTGTGTTTCTTCCTTTTTGCTGTCCTGATTGGTCGAAAAGAGCTCTTCATTGCATTTGGTTTTCATGACACCCAGCCAACTCTTATCGGGCTGATGATCATCTTTCAGTTCATCTTCTCACCTTACAATGAGGTACCTCTTGCATTTCTCTCCTTTCTTCTTTCTCTCTGAAAAATACATGAGGATTTGTTTGCTAACTATGCATATTCTACCTTCTATGTGAATATTTCTGCTTAGAATTACATGCAGGACATTACAGTGCGTTTGCAAATGACACGGTCAATGTTTAGGGTAATCAAGTTGTGTATGCAAGGTGTCGTATGGGTATACTAGATTGATTCTAGGACATTGGCATTTATTAAAAGACAAAGAATCACCAAAATGCCAATTTTGTAGCACTAACTTGTCTGTAAATTTTTTTATTTTTTTATTTATTTTTTATTGTCATGAGACTTATTAAATAAGTACTTATTTTCTAAAATGGGCCCAGAAAAAAACTTATACAGTATTTATCACAAGTACATTTAAAGAATCTTTTATAAAGTTGGATATATAAAATGTAGTCTTTTTTTCTCCAAGTTTAATTTTATAAAATATTTGTACTTATTCAATCTGTTGTCAATTGTTTAATCTGTATCTGCCATGTAATAGCCTGTGAAGCTGATATGGCAATAAATGTAAAGAAATCTAAATACAACCATTTTCTGGATCTTCAGATGTATCTGATCCAATTCACCTTCTTTTTCCCACTTCAGTTGCTGTCGTTCTGTTTGACGGTGTTGAGCCGAAGGTTTGAGTTTCAGGCAGATGCATTCGCGCGCAATATGGGCCGATCATCTGAGCTGTACTCTGCTCTCATCAAGCTCAATAAGGACAACCTAGGCTTCCCTGTAGCAGATTGGCTCTTCTCT